GCAAATAATGCTAGTAAATGCTGCCTTCTTCCTGAAAATAGTGTACATAGTTGGTATAATGCTTAATACTAAACTGTTCTGAATTTTAACTGTTTTTCATTTATATATTTAACCAAGAAGTATTTATAAGTATTTATGTTCTATGGAGTTAAGAAGAACAGCTTCATCAACTGAATATCACATTCATTTATAACTATGCTCTGGGCATTGTGTTACATAAACTGAATGAACAAAGTCGAGAACTGTTTGGTCAATTTATACCTCAATAAAGCTGAAAAAAATAGTGTCTGTTCCTATCACAATAACAGATCTTCCTAATGATAGTTTTGATTCATCTGTAAAAATTATTATGTATAGTATATTATTATGGAAGAGAGGCAATAATATAATGCATGTTATAAATAAAACATAAAGTAATCCACAAAAATAATCTATTTAACTCTTTGCATTTGAAGAGTAATCTTTAGCTACATGTAAAATTCAAATATCCCCAAGGATATCTTTTCCCCAAGGATTCCAGAGAATAAAAGTTTACTTCAGCCCTAGCCGGTTTGGCTCAGTGGTTAGAGCATTGGCCTGCGGTCTGGAGAGACCCGGCTTCAGTTCCTGCTAAGGGCATGTACCTCGGTTGCAGTTTGTCCCCAGCCCTGGTTGGGTTGTGTGGGTGGCGACCACTCGATGTGTCCCTTTCACGTCGATGTTTCTCTCTCTCTTCCTCTCTTTCCCTCCCGCTCTATCTGAACAAAGAATGGAAAAATGTCCTCCGGCGAGGATAAAAAAAAAAAAAAAAAAAAAAAGTTTACTTCAATTAATAACAGAGAAACCAATTTTCAGGCAACTAAATGGCTTAATTCTCAAACAAGTTTGAAGTAAATGTCCTCTCTAAATTTATTTATTTTGAGTATACCATGTAAAATAAGGAAAACTTGCATAAGTGTTTCTCATTGTTCCTCTTCTGTTTTCTAACCCAATGCTGAACAAAGTTGTGAGGTACCCCAAGTTTTTTTTGGTAAATATCCATCTCTCCAATTATTGGACAGTATTTTGATCCTAGGCTATTCTGTGACTGCTCAAGTTTTCATCAGGTCACTGAACCTGACATCACATCCCTAACTCAGTTTTCAAAACATAACCATCCTTGGTCATGTTCCTTCTAGCATCCAACTGCTATTTGGTCTAATCTTATAAAATAACTCAAGCTAATGTATTAATTAATGATGTGATGATACCTTAATACATTGCTACTTTTAGGTAAATGTGCAAAAAATAGATGTATATAAATATAATACTATAATCCAAGACCATGAGTCTTTTTCCCATTTTGATAGCTGACCAACTAACTATCAAATTAAATAATAAACAAAACAAGAAAACACCAAGAATTATAACAAAAATAAGTCAGCTTACATTTAACTTTAGTTTGTGAGAGAAAATGAAAATATACTACCTTACATATGTATATATTTTACACATGTATTTAATGTTCTTCACATCCATGTTTCTCTCTCTCCATCACTTCCTTTCTCAAAAACAATAAAAAAATCTTTAAACAAATAAAAATACACTGAGACAAATAAAAACAACAGTGACCAAAATACAAGTCTACTTCAAGAAATAAGAGAAATCTCAAACAATCTATCATACACATAAAAATATTTTAAAAAGAAGAACAGAGACCAAAATGAGTAGAAGGAAGGAAATAATAAAGGTTAGAGCAGAAATTAATGAAGTAAAGTCTAAAAAACAATAGAAAAGATCAATGAAACCAAGAGCTAGCTCTTTGAAAGATAAACAAGTCATAAACCTTCACTCAGACTCATCAGAAAAAAAAGAGAGAGGGTCCAAATAAATAAAGCCAGAAATGAAAGAGAAGTGACAAAAGACACCACAGAAATACAAAGGGTTATAAAGAAATACTATGAATAACTATATGCCAACAAATAGAACAACCTGGAAGAAACGGATACATTTCTAGAAACACACAATCTTCCAAGGCTGAATCATAAAGAAACAGAAAATCTAAACAGATTAATAACTAACAAAATAAAATTGGTAATAAAAAAACTCTCAACAAATAAAAGCGCTGGACCAGATGACTTCATAGGTAAATTTTACCAAATATCCAAAAAAGAATTAACACCTATTCTTCTCAAACTATTCAAAAAGACTGAAGGAGAACAAAGACTTCTAAACTCATTTTACAATGATTACCCTGATATCAAAACCAGAGAAAAACACTAGAAAAAAATTATAGGCCAACATACCTGATAAACAGATGAAAAAGTCCTTAACAAATTTAGCAATACATTAAAAAGATAATACACTATGATCAAATAGGGTTTATTCCTGGCATGTGAGATTTATTCAATATCTGCAAATCAATTAATATGATATGCCACATAAACAAATTGAAGAATAAAAATCCTATGATCATATCAATAGATGCAGAAAAAGCATCTGACAAAATCCAACATTCATTTATGATAATGAAAAGCCTCTCAGCAAAGTGAGAATAAAAGGAACATAAGTAACATAATAAAGGCCATATATAACATATCCACAGCTAACATTATACTCAGTGGGGAAAAGCTAAAAGTGTTTTCCTTAAGATCAGGAACAAGACAAGAATGTCCACTTTCACGATTTGTATTGAACTTGGTATTGGAAGTTCTAGCCAGAGCAAGACAAGAAAACAGAATAAAAGGTATCCAGATTGGAAAGAAAGAAGTAAAACTTATTATTTGCAGATTAATAATACTATATAGAGATAACCCTACAGATTCCGCCAAAAAACTATTAGAACTAATAAATGAATTCAGTAAAGTAGCAGGATACAAAATTAATATTTAGAAACCAATTGCATTTTTTACACCAAGAACAAAAAAAGAGAAATTAAGGGAACAATCTCATTTACAATTGCATCAAAAAGAATAAACTATGTAGGAATAAATTCAACCAAGGAACTAAAAGACCTGTACTCAGAAAACTATAAGACATTGCAGATGGAAACTGAAGAAGATAAAAATTAATGAAAGGATATACCATGTTCATGGGTAAGAAGAATTAACATTGTTAAAATGTCCATACTACACAAACCAATCTACAGATTCAACAAAATCCCTATCAAAATACCAATGGCATTTTTCACAGAACTAGAACAAATAATCCTAAAATTTATATGGAAGCACAAAGACCATGAATAGCCAAAGCGATCTTGAGAAAGAAGAAGTTTGAGGTATCACACTACCTAATATCAAACTATACTACAGCAGGGTACTGGCATAAAAATAGACACATAGATCAATTGAACAGAATTGCGAACTCAGAAAAAGCCCAAACCTATATGGTCAAATAATCCATAACAAAGGAGGCAAGAATATACAATGAAGTAAAGATAGTCTCTTCAATAAATAGTGTTGGGAAAACTGGACAGACATGCAAAAAAATGAAACAGGATCACTTTCTTCTACTATATACAAGAATAAAATAAAAATGGATTAAAAACTTAAATGTAAGACCTGAAACCATAAAACTCCTAGAAGAAAGCATAGGTTACTGCTACTCTTTGACATCACTCTTAGAAATATATATATATATATTTAGATATGTCTCCTTGGACAAAATAAACAAAAGGAAAAAAACAAAACAAATGAGAGTACATCAAACTAAAATGTTTTTGCACAGTGATGGAAACCATCAACAACACAAAAAAACAATCTAGTGAATGGAAGAAGATATTTGTCAATGATACATCCAATAAGGGGTTACTATCCAAAATATATAAAGGACTCATACAACTCAACTCCAATCCCCTCACAAATCTGATTAAAACTGGGCACAAAACCTGAATAGACATTTCTTTAAAGAGGACATACAGATGGCCAACAGAAATATGAAAAGATGCTCAATGTCACTAATCATCAGTGTAATGCAAATTAAAACCATAATGAGATATCACCTTACATCTGTCAGAATGGCAATCATCAATAACTCAACAAACAAAGTTGGTGAGGATGTGGAGGAAAGGGAACTCTTGTGCACTGTTGATGGGATCATTAATTGGTGCAGCCACTATGTATGAAGTTTCCTCAAAAAATTAAAAATAGAACAACTATATGACCCAGTAATTTCACTTATAAGTATTTATCCAAATAAATCCAAAACATTAATTTGAAAAGACATATGCAACCCTTTGTTCATTTTAGCATTATTTACAGTAACCAAGTTATGGAAGCAAGCTGTGTCCATCAACAGATGAAATGGATAAAGAAGTGATACATATATACAATGGAATATTAATCAACCATAAAAAAGAATAAAATGTTGCCATTTGTGACAACGTGGATGGACCTAGAGGGTATTATGCTAAGTGAAGTAAGTCAGACAGAGAAAGGCAAATTCCATGATTTCACTTATATGTAGAATCTAAAAATCAAAATAAACTAACAAAACAGAAACTCATGGATACAGAGAATAAATTGATGGTTGCTAGATGTGAGGGGGCTGAGGGTGATGGGTAAAAAAGAGGAAGGGATTTAAGATGTACAAATTGCCAGTTATAAAAATAGTCATGGTAATGTAAAGTACAGCATAGCGAATATAGTTAATAATATTGTAGCCCTGGATGGTTTGGCTCAGTGGTTGGAGCGTTGGCCTGCAGACCAGAGAGTCCCGGGTTTGATTCCTGCTAGGGGCACATACCAAAAAAATAATAATATTGTAATAACAATGTGTGATGTCAGACGGGTACTAGACTCATTGGGGTAATCACTCTGTAAGTTATATAAATGCCTAATTTTTATGCTGTACAGCTGAAATAATATAATATTGTATGGCAAGTGTAATTAAAAATTTTTTTTAAACATTAAAGTGATTTTGGAGTTTTAGAAAAAAATCTGTTTTTAAATAATAAACAGTAATAAAAAGTCAAAGTAAAATAGTAATAGTCAAATATATTGAAATTGAAAAGCATAGATATAATACTCTTACAGATCGTTTACCTCAAAGTCTATCAGCTGTAGGTCAGCTATCAATGTCACCAGCAGCCCACTATTGTAGAGTTCTTGTGCTAGTTGAGCCACAGCTTCTGTTGGGGGTTCCTTGTCATTTGTACCGCACAGAATTTCTTTCATTGCTTGAAGTGATTTCGATACTTCTTCTGAAGCCTAGTGACCAAAAAGTATACTAAGACGTAAGTGAATACAAATTTTCAGACTATAAACAAATGAACAAAAACCACTTACTTATTAGTCCCTGCTTATTTATGATCAAAGAACATTGTACAGTTACAAACACAAACCATTTAGTAAGCACTGCTTTTTTATTTTAAAAAGTTACTAAAATTGATATCTAGAAAAAGGTCTCCAGTATTTCTATTTAGTCAACATAACTGAAAAAAATCTCTTAACCCATACTCAGACACAGTCAACTTTGCTACTAATTAATTCTAAATTTAACTCTTAAAAATTAAATTGACTCCATTTTAAAGACTTATCAGTAGCTACTAGTTTTTAAAGTATTTGCTAAGGTTTCTCAACTAATCCTTATTTTTCTGATTTTTTTTTAATGGAACAGGTATAAAATCATAAGTTGTCAAAACCCATAAACTTTCTTTGTCAATCCACTTTCCCCTCACACAGTCATTATCTATTTTGCTATCTACAAAACTTAAAAAAAAACCAACTCCCTACATTTAAATAATAATAGGAAAATCCACAGAGGTAGAAAGTAGATTAGTGTATGCTAGGGTCTGGTGAGAGTAGAATGAGAAATGACTGCTAAATGGGGTACAAGGTTTCTTTTTTGGGGTGATAACATTCTGAAAGTAGATAGTGGTGATGGTTGGATAACCTTGAGAATGTACTAAAAACCACCAAATTGTACACTTTAAAATGGTGGATTATATGGTATGCAAATTATATTTCAAGAAAAATTTTTTCAAAAATTAATACAGGTGCAGATCAGAGAACAGGTCAATTGGTTAACAATTTGATTTGCTGATCATTTAAAAATATATATATATACCATAGTTTTAGGTACAGTACTCTAATCATTATAATTGAAGGGAATAAAGAAAAAGGCAATATAAAAATAATTCATAGTAGTGTGACACTACTTAAAAAATAATTTCCAGATACATCTTATGATATGACTGAAGCAATCCTTAATTTATTAATGGTTGGAAGCTTCTTAAATTGTGATATATATCCACAGAAGAGTACCTTAAACACACACACACATGTTTATATATATAATAAATATATTATATATGATAAAACATAAAATATATATAATATATACATAATATATAATATTCTATACATACACACACACAGACACACACATATATATGGAGAGAGAGAGAGATAATAATTATAAAGCAAATACCTGTGTGAACATAGCACAGGTCAAGAAATAAGATTTTAAGTATCCTAGAAGTTACCTGAATGGCTCTCTTTCAGCCTAGAAGTAAATATTTTTATGTCTTTGATGACAATCATTTTTTTACTTTTTTTTGGTAGTTTTCTTACTTATGTTTGAGGCCCAAACAATGTAATTTAGTTTTACTGATTTGGAATAGTACCTGTACCCTTTTATAATTTGCTTCTTTCACTCGACACTATTATTTGTGAGATTCATCCATGCTGCTGCATGTAAGCAGCAGTTCTTTCATTTTCATTGCTCTGTGATATTCCAGTGATGAAGGAACCACTTCAATATCAATTCTACCGATGATGGACATTTGGGTTGTTTCCACTGAGGGGTTATTATGAACGACACAATGCTATGAACATTCTTTTACATGCATCCTGGGCCCATGTTCACGAATATCTCTAGAGTTTAAATCTAGCAGGAACACACATAACTTCCTATCTAAGAAATAATATAATAAACAGGTTTCCAAAAACCAGTTTATACTTTATCACTCACAGTGAATCAAAGTTCTTATTGTTTTCCATACTTGTCAACACTTAACACCATCATACAGTTTTGCCAAGGTAGCATATGCATATTATAAATATACTGCAGTTAATTGAACTTTTCTTGATTACTAATGAAGACGAGTTTCTTTTTCTGTTTTTTTGTTTGTTTGTTTGTTTGTTTTTTCTCTCTCTCTCTTGTCATTTAGAATTACTCTTTTATGAAGATCCTTTTTTTCTATTTGGACCAATATCTGGCTTAATATTACAAAGTACACTAGGATTAAAATATATTTCTACATTACTTAAAAGATGTAGGATGAAAAATATATTTCTACATTCTTATAAGAACACAAGATTGTATCATACACTGAGAAAGAAATATACTATGCACTCAAGGGTATTTATTCAATAGATATCTTTGATCTTGCCATAAACTAGTCACTTTGGAGAGAAATTAAATATGTAGGATTCAACATCCCTTCAAGGGAACAACTAAAACACTAGAAAGCCCTTCGTAAGAGGAAGCTCTGCTTGGTAGAACATTAAAACAATATTAAAATGAAGTTGAACTATAGTAGAAACTATCAGTGAATCTTTAAATAAAAACTTTTTACCCTTCATCTCAGTATACCATTATACCAGTATTATCCCATATATATACACACACACACACACATATACATATATATACCCTCCTATCTATAATATACATTCATATATAAATGAATGTATATTATCCTTACCCGAGGATATTCTTCCATTTATCCTCAGATATAGTGGGAGGGAGAGAGAGAGCGAGACATTGATGCAAGAAAGACACATTGATTGGTTGCCTCCTGCACGACCCCAACCAGGGCTGGGATCCAAACCGCAACTGTGATGCATGCCCTTGACCAGAATTGAACCTGTTGACTCTTTGGTCCGTGGGCCAATGTTCTAACCGCTGAGCCAAACAAGCCAGGGCTAATCCCTTATATTTTTTAAGCTACATGGTCTAAAGGGACACAAAGTTGGTCAGAGGTTCCAGATAATGAATCAAGAACTTGACAGCCTGGTTGGGTAGGTCAGTTGGTTAGAGTATCATCCTAATAGGCCAAGGTTGCAAATCAGGGCACATACAAGAATCAATCAATGAATGCATAAATAAGTAGAACAACAAATTGATGTTTCTCTCATTCTCTCTCTGCCCCTTCCTGTCTCTCTCTAAAATCAATGAATTAAAAAAATATATTTTTAGTTGGTTAGAGTGTTGCCCTAATACACCAAGAGTTCAAGACAACAGATTTAGCATTTATCAGATGCATAAAATCTAAAATAAATTTAAATGTATTTACAGAGACCCTATGTGTCCCATCACTTCATTAAACTTTTACGTTGGTTTTGGTCTTGGAATACATATATTTTAATAACAATGTTACTATTTTAGTTCATACCTTTTCTGTCTTTTTGTCTTGCTTTTCCAAAATGGCTAAGTTGTCTTTCAGAATTTTCACAATTTCTGCTGGATTTTTATGTGATTTACTAAACAAAGGCATTTTTTTCATCTATATAAATCTCTTCTTCCAATATGGAATGCTAAAAACAAATAAAAAAATAATGAATTTAACTTTAACATGATTAAATTATTATACTAAAATAACATGAGTTTTCAATTCAGTAATTTCAAATATTAAAATCCAACTAAAATGAATTTCATGAAGTTTTATGTCAAATTTAAACACATACAAAATATTTTTAAAACTTTACCTGAACATTTTCCTCAAAGTTGAACATTTTTCTTATAATAGAAACACAAGGATTATGTGAGAATGGGAAAAAGAGTTCCTTTAGAGAATAAGCTGTTATTTAAAACTAGATATTTTGACTAAAAAAAAGTAATGATAATAATAATAGTAGATAAAATAAAACATGCAAAACTAAAGTGGGATTAAGATCCACATACTGTGGTACAGCAAATACTTAAAAGCATGCTTCTCAACAGCAATCACAAAATTGCTATGTAAAATTTTTTAGAATCTGTTCTTTACTCTTCAAATATTCAGCTGACTGAATACTGACAAAATGAGGACTACCATGATGGAGGGTAAAGAGAGTGGGGAAAGCAGTATCAATTCTTGTTTTTGAGAACATTTATTTACATAGAGCAGAGAAATCCAAATAGGGTTGTCACCACCTTATTTATACCAAAAATGTAAGTACTGGGAGGGTGGGATCTTATAATTTAAGGCTCTAGTTAGTACAGACATATTCATTTACTTTGCATTTATTAGCAAAAATATTTCAAGCATTATAGAAATATGATACAATAAATCAAAGGCTCCCATTAATCAATGACCAGAAATACCAACTATTATCAGTTTGGTATATACTACTCCTGATTTTTTTCTATACATATAAAAATACATATATTTAAAATAAAAATAGAATAGTACTAAATATAGTATTTTGCAACTTTCTCCAACTTTTTATATCTTAAATATCATTCTATAAGTACATGCTTAGGTCTATAATATTTAAAGCAATATAATATTCCATTATACAGATATATAATTATTATTTGGCAAGTTCTTATTAAATTATTATAATTTATTTTACCATAAATAAATAAATTTTATTTATTAAGTTAATTCCACTTCTAATATTTTTCTTATTAAAAAGGAATATTATATGCAAATGTGTACCAGTGATAGTAGCACTCTTCTAACCAGCTAGTCCTGTGGGGTAACCTTGGCTTTGGTTCCGAATCCCTCATCCCTCTAAATACCTACTTCCTAAATCTGGTATCCTATTATTTGACAGATCTGTAAATTACCTTATAACCTTTCAATAAATTCCTTCAGTATTGTTTCTAATCATGAATTCCAATGTTATGAAGTAGAAATCAAAACTGTTGGTATGAATTTTGATGATAAACAAAAGACTTAAAAAACATTTCATGTTTTCTGTTAGGGATGCCTTAACTTCCCAATGTGGGAGGGCAAATATGAGAGGGAACTTGTCCACTTTTAGGGCAAGGATAAGTTTTTTGTTGTTAATCCTCAACTGAGGATATTTTTCCATTAATTTTTTTAGATAGAATGGAAGGGAAGAAGGGAGGGGAAGAGAGAGAGAGAAACATCTATGTGAGAGAGAGACACACATACACACATCAATTGGTTGCCCTTCACACGCACCCCTACCTGGCGGGGCATAGAACCTGCAACCCGAGTACGTGCCCTTGACCAGGAATCAAACTCTCGACCCTTCTGTCCGCAGGTCGATGCCGTAATAGCTGAGCCAAACAAGCCAGGGTAGGAAAGAATAAGTTTGAAAAGCATGTTAAAGGATCCCAGCCAGCCTCTAAAGCTGATACAGAAAGCTGACAGAACACTGAATGATAAAGTACATGAAGATCACACCGAGAGTCTTGATGGGTGGTGTCAGATGCCAAAAAAAAAGAGCAATGGAAGAACATTGTGCCTTGTCCCTTTATAAAACTCAATAATAAAATGATAAAGATGCTAGATTTTTCTTTAATTATTAGGCCTAAACACAAAGCATATTTAAAAGTTTATGTAATGGGGAGGTGGGGTGGGTGCTGAAACAATCATTAGATGGTTGGTCAGAGCAAGCAATCTATTGCTTCGTGCCTGGATGATCTTGGGCACAGTATATGATTTCTCTAAGGTTCTGTGTTCTTGTAAATTGTGATAACATCTACCTCTTAGGGTTGTTTTAAGGACTAAAGGTATGCAGGACCTACTAGAAGTGAGGTACTCTATAATTTTTAGCTGTTATTACTAGAAAAAGTTCCATGACAGTTAATGAATTATTTCACTATAGCAATTGAGATATAACTGTCTTTATTATTTTTTAAAATGTTTTTATTGACTTTTTTAGAGAGAGAGAGAGAAATATCCATTAGCTGCCTCCTGCACGCCCCCTCCTGGGGATCAAGCCTGCAACCCAGGTATGTGCCCTGACCTGGAATCAAACTGGGACCACTCATTCCATGGAGAGAATTCCAGAGAGAAACATCAATGTGAAGGGACACATCGAGTGGCTGCCACCCGCACGACCAACCAGGGCCGGGGACAAACTGCAACCGAGGTACGTGCCCTTAGCGGGAACCGAACCCGGGTCTGTCTGTACCGCAGGCCGACGCTCCAACCACTGAGCCAAACCGGCCAGGGCTTATCTTCATATTTTAAATGTACCTATTATATGATGAAATTAGTGTAATAGTGTTTTAGAATTTCACAGGATCATTATTCTTCAATTCTGGGACCCATATTTTGAGGGAAATCAAAACCCATACTCTCAAACCACGCAGTTACAGCCCCCAGGTCCCCTATAAATTAGTATGAAGCTCTCTTTCCTGGACTGTTCTCTTCAGATCATGGCCAGCCCCACTTCACCCCCAGACTTAACACCTGCCCCCATAACATTCAAACTCAAGGCTGCCTTTTCTATAATCTGGGCAATCATGCTGGTCACTGCCTGTGCATCCACCCCAATCACATCATTTTCCCTACCTTCATTTACGAAATGAGCCAATGGGCACTCAACAGTACCTGCTAATAATCAGGCTGAAACAAACACATGGTACTTAAGAACTCCCATCTATTTCTGAGTTGAAAAATGATCATTATGATTCATAAATTATCACCCTTATATGAAAATCATTTGTTCTATCTGTAAATTGAGGGGGTTCTTCTTTCCCTTTTTATTGAATTTATTGGGGTGACACTCTTCTTTTTAGTTCAACTGTGAATTCACCTAGTAATATCATTTAACTCATTATTTTCCATTTCATTCATGAAGGTATCAAGAAAAAGTCTGCCAAATGCTTTTGGAAAGCTCAGATACATTATATTTATTTGTTAATACCAGTTTGATTACCTTGTTTTATTTTTATTACATCTCTATGACTTACTAATTTTATAATTGGAAGCTTGTAACTTTTGACTCCCTCCACCCATTTCTGCCACCCCTGCCTCTGAAAACCACCAATTTGTTTTCTTTATGTATAAGCTTCTTTTTTTTGTTTTTCTTAGATTCCACATATGAATGAGATCATACAGTATTTATCTTTCTCTGTCTGACTTATTTCACTTAGCATAATGCCCTGAAGCTCCTTCCATGTTGTCACAAATAACACAATTTTCTTCTTTTTAATGGCTGAATAATATTCCATTATGTGTATGTGTGAATATATATGTGTCATATTCATTCTGAATCTCTAACTCCTCAAATCAATCATAGCCGAAAATAAAATGCTTAAGATGGAGACAAAAGAAATGAAGGAGTCCTGAAAATGGTGCCTTCTGGGGATAAATTGAGAGTAGTAATCCTTTCATAAAGCTTTCACGTAGAGTTTTTAGAACATACATTATATTTCTGCAAACAGGAAACAGGGACAAGAAAAGATTCCATGTTAGTCAAATAGACTGACACCAGCTGAATGTCTCCTGGGCACTGAAAACTGTGTTGGCACCTCATACATCAACCTGCCCTCCAGCATTAGTGCTGACAACGGGCCATGAAGCACACAAATGCCAGTGAACTGACACCAGCCCTATTGTACTTTTCCACTTTCAAGAATAAATAAACAAAATAAACAACACAAAACGTAAGTTCTATTTTAAGGGGAAATAAGCAGCACAAGAAATGAGAGAAATGCCTGTAGACTTGGATAGGCAAGGGTGCTTCCAAAATTAATTCTCTACAGGAGATAGAATTGAAAAGACATAATTGAAGAAAAAAAAAAAAGATTTATACAAAAAGAGAGCTGGCCAAGATAAAAGATCAAAAACACATACATATACACACATATTACCTTCTCCTACCCAAGATAGCAGGACAATCCAAATCTGCATAGAGCAGAAATGACCCCAAGAAAATTGAGGACAAATGAAAGATATTAGTCAGTCTACATTTACTTATTCAGAAAATATTTACTAAGCACCTATAATGTGCCAGGTATTGAATTAGGAAATTCAAAATGAGCAAGTCTCATAGGGCTCAAAACACTGTGGGAGACAGACACACACAGAGTTTAGCCAAAATGCCAGAAAAGATCAAAGAAATTAAAATGATGGAGAAAAGATACTAAGTATGTGTATGTGTGTGTGAGTGTGTACACATAACACTATAGATAGAGAGAGATGGATATATACATATAATAGAGCTATGGAAAAGATGAAGTATTATCCTATAAAAACAGGTATTAAAACAGTAGAAAGAGGTGAAAAAAGCCAATAACAAAACGAAAGAAACTAAAAAACGGAGCAAAAGCAACACTAAAAAATATAACAGCTTGAGCAGAAAAAAGATGTAAACCTGGTCATTTAAAGGATTTTTCTCATTGAGATTAATGATGAGACCCCCAAATTGTTCTGTGGCTTTTAAAAGAAACAAACATTCCTCTTTCAATGCTTATTCCTACAAAATGACCTTAACAAAAAAGGGATAAAAATTAAGTTATCGTTGGACTTCCATAAAATTAAATGTCATAAGGACCATGGAGACAATCTACAGAGTGCTAAAAGGAAAAGTGTATAACATCATAATTAAATCTCCAGCCAACATATTTA